CGTTTAGATTTGTGCCGCAATTCTGCATTTCCCCCTTCTTTTACACCTCTTGACCTTTGACCTAGCTGTGACCTCCAATTTCGGCACAGTGATGGCTTTTCCTACCATGATGCTATACACCGACTATCACGAGCCTAGGTCGAGCCGTTTAGATTTGTTCCGCAATTCTGCATTTCCCCCTTCTTTTACACCTCTTGACCTTTGACCTAGCTGTGACCTCCAATTTCGGCACAGTGATGGCTTTTCCTACCATGATGCTATACACCGACTATCACGAGCCTAGGTCGAGCCGTTTAGATTTGTTCCGCAATTCTGCATTTCCTCCCTATACCTTGGGTTAAGGAGGGAATGTTCCCCCTTCTTTTACACCTCTTGACCTTTGACCTTTGACCCCCCAGCTTCGACATCCCAACTCGTTTTCGGATTCCCCCCCCCCACGTCCCGACTTTCGAATCCGTACATCGAGCCGTTTAGATTTGTGCCCAACTGTTGACGGACGGACGCACGCACGCACGGACGCACGCACGGACGCACGCACGGACGCACGCTCATGCGATTCTACAAGCTGCATCTGACTATGTCAGATGAGCTAAAAAGGGATGAGGATAAGGTAATCACTGGATGCTGCTTGAGAAAATTAATTACGTAAATCGTTCGGATCACGTAATAAATCACTGACATGCTTATCCGTAACTATGCGTTATAAGCTAACTATTACGCCCGTGTTTTATTACCAGGTTATATTGTTTTTGATGTCATTATATTTTACACCAATACAGATAGCTTTGTCACCACCGCTGAGAAGTTAGCCTTATTTAGAACAACAGTGGTTATTGCATTCATCATTTCAAAGCTCGGTGCCGCGCCACTCATAGATCATCCACACCCTCCCGTTGAAACGCGTAGAACAAACGTTACATCTAAAACATTTTCTATGTCTGTCATATTTCATCGCCTTTGTCTTAGAATCCACTTCAATACACACAGGTGCGTGTAGGAATGCCCGAAAAATCGCCCGATAATATCAAAACGTTTTGATCTATGCGATGAAATCGGCGGCGATTGAGTGGACACACTAGGCGATTTCAGGGCGATTTCATCGCCCGATTTTATCGCCCGATTTAATCGCCTAGTGTGTCCGGCCTTGTAAAAGCAACGGTAGCTTAACGGGGCTACGTGCCTTGCATTTTCAACGCGGTGCAACTGTTAATCACATAGGGGAGCGCTATATACCGTTGCATTGCGTGACCGCTGCATTCGAGTTTAGCAGACGGTAGACACTAGTATAATCAGGAGTTAGTAATGACAAATTTGTAAATTCCTGGTATAATTAAACGTAGTTTATAGAGCACGGCTAGAGTACCACCCGCCTGCGGCTCTCCGCAGCATTTTCCGTAATCGCTGCACGATTCTCTTTTTCCAAATGAAGTGAATTTCGAAACGGATGCAGAGACACACGGAGAGAGACACGTACGTATACGTAATCATGGCTGTCACGACCAGCCGTAAAAAACATCCGTAAGGTCGACGAATGACCTGCGATTAGAGAGCACTTGCACCCGTCGACAGGAAATAGTCGCACAACCAGCACGGGTTATTACTGACGGGTTATTACACCACGGATTTTATTTTATTTCCCCGGCCACGGGTCGCGCCAAATCCTGAGATCTGGGAACACTGAGATCAGGAATAATTGCATATAGAAAATGATGACGCGTGATGCAACAGCCGCGAGGCATGCATGTCACACTAGGCAAACATCCAGGGGCCCGTTGGCAGAAACAAAAAGCAAATAAAAAAGAAACAAAAAGAAAACTGGTCTTAACATTAGTCTTAGCATTAACTTGTTCTCTTAAACCGTCGACAGAAACGCTGCAAAGAATACCTGAATGAAAGATCGTAGCAGATTTCCGCATAACAATCCGAAACAAAGTGCTGTCAACGGTCTACGAGAAAATTTTAGGCTAAAGCCCGCCGCACACGGTGAACTATCTGCTGAGCCAACGGCCTCAAGAGGCCGTTGGCTCAGCAGATAGCTCAGCGTGTGCGCGCAGATTCTGCACGATTTTTGGCCTCTCGTGGCTGTGAGACCGATATCTAATTTGAGACCGATTGTGAGACCGAGTGTGAGACCGATTGTGAGACCGATAAGACTAATTTAAAGACTAATGTTAAGACTAATTTTGTTTCTGACAACGGGCTCCAGGCTTAGCACGCAACGACTGCGCCACCTCGGGGCTGCTGCATATAATAATAGTCACATCATGATCAGACGAGCATCATCACGCGAGGGACGTCTTACCGGCTGGCTGGCTGTCCGGTGTATGTCTATTTCATGTGCTGATGCACAAACACGTAAAAATGAAGTATACTCAACGGAACCCACCGACGTGTCTTTCACAGACACATATCTAGTTTTATAGGGAATCATGGTTTCACCGTATAATTGCCACCCGAGGGAAATGTCATTCGAGCATCCTTATATGTGCCCTTTATAGGTGTCCTTTATAGGTGTCGCTTTTAGACAGGTGTCCGTTTATATAGAGGTGTTCGCTAACACTGGCTTGACTGTGTTCCATGTTGATGTGTATTGATCACACGCTGGTATAGATATAATACGTATGCCGCAACCAGGAATCCCTATTCCTCCCTATTTCATATTTCCCAATTCCTACTTCCTTTATCTATCTACCACTTTCTTATGTATCTCCTAATTCCTCATATGCTATGCGATCCCGCTTGTATCCCTGATCCCACTCACAACGTGACATAATGTGCTACCTACTGGTTAGACGGGTTCTTAGTCATTTTTATTATTAAAAAAAGATCAAAAACAATCTAACAGCACTGCTGGCTCTAGCACCCTGCGTTCTGATCGGTGTATATCGGATCGAATTAGATGAAAACAAGTAGTGGGCCCAACGAGTTTCGGATTGGCGTGAACCAGGACACGTCGCTGTGTGCGTTATAACACTCGGAAAATCCGGATTAGTTAGTTGTTATTCTCAACGCAGTCAATAGGATGCCGCCAACAACGAAACTAGAATGCTGACTGACCTTGAAAACGCAAAATGGCGCAGCAAAAGAAAATGGTTTGAACATTTACCGATATAGAATGTG